CTTTTTCCTGGTTAATAAGTACACCCTGAAATTATCATGTAGCTAATTAGAGAAGTACGTACTGTTATGTTATTTACAAAACAGATTCAATAAAAAAGCTGAAGGCACTATTTCTTAGTAAACTTCATATCCTCTCTCCAGAAAACTCACGCTTCCAAGTACAAAACTAGCTCTTGTGCACTTCTAAACAATGAAACTTGAGCTACCTAAAAGTAGAATTAAATGCATAAAGAGTTCAGAAAAATTCCAGCACTTATGTGCTCTATATTCTCCCTACAATGAAAAACCACTACATTATTTCCCTTTGCTGGGAAATGATGAGTGCAAAACCCAGGGACTCACTGAATCCCATGCCCAGCTGATAGCTCTTGGCAGCTTGTTGCATCTACTTTTCCAAGCAGCTGCCAAAGGAGCACACACCTGAGACTCGCACAGACCATCTGTAGCATGATGAAGAACACTCATTTACTACTTTATGAACTGATTTCTTCTTATGTGTTAGATGATACACCAATATAATTCTGAAAATACATTACAGTGCTGCAGTGGTTATGTTTTGTTCATCAGTCATGCTTTCTAAAATAGTCAAAAGACATGCAATCTCCCAAGTTATCTACATATGATGGTATACAATAAGAATAACCAACTGTATGCCCTAAACCACACTCAGAAAAGGAGAGGTTAGTTCTTTACCTCTTCGTTTATTTTATCCAGATTTGGCTCTCAGCAATTTTTTACACCAACTCAATTCTACTTTATCACTAAATCTTCTACAGGAATAGTCATATTAAAAAGAAAAAAAAAAAAGAAAAAAAATAAAATGACCTTTTTGCCTTGTGTTCTTTCCCTTCAAAACCTATTTTTAAAATGGTGACACAGTTCTTAAAGCATGTACCACTCCCCAGTTCCAGTCTTTTCAGTCTCCTAGGACAAGAAACCACACGTCATTTCTACCAAACTGCTGTGTAGGTTGGTAGCTAAGGGTAGAGCAGTGTGCTGTTATCACTGCCCAGTCACTTTAGTGTTTTACTACAAGTTTAGACTTCACCAAGCCAGTTGCTGTTGCTTTCCTTAGCAATCATGTTGCAAAAAGGAAGATTTATTTTAGGCAAATTCAACAACAAAGCATTTTCCATAGTATTAAGTTTTGCCATTGTGGTAGGAACTAACAAACTCAAGAAAACACACACAAAAAAGCAAAAATATGGAAAAACACCGTTTCCACAAGTTAAAATGTTAGGTTTACATTATTTTTAAGATTTTATTATTTATGGATAAAATTTTCAACATCTACATGCATGACTCAGGAGCATAAGTCTCATGGTAGTAACCAATAAGTAACCCCTCCTGCTAGATTTGTAAAAAAGTTTTCAGGAATCTATTTACAAGGGATCTTTGACACAGGACTCGGTAAGTGGTATCTATATACGTCTTCACATGTCTAAACATCACAGAAGTTTTTTTTCTCCCTGTCATGCTCATGATATTCAGCACTACTATATCTTTAAAAAGCATCTTTAGTATTTAAATCTATTTTACATTTCTTATATTGGATGTTGCGAGAATTATCAAAATTCACACCACAAATACAGTGTCACATACAGTGTCACAAATGTCAAAAGACACTGCCAGAGAAAACCTGTTAATGAGCTCAGCTCTAGGGACTCCAGGAATCCGGGGGGGTCCCACATGGCTAAATCCAATCATACTTTTATCTCCAATGCATTAGAGAAGTAAGCCCCCAATGAAAGTGCCTGTTACTAACATGTTTAAATAGGTAACAGACCAAAAACGGTTAGTCAAACAACACACCAGTGTTTCAGCTTAACCAAGCCAGTATCTCGTAGAAGAAGAGCGAGCGGTGCAGAGCACAATGCAGTACCAGTGCACAGCCTACACAGTCGGCACGTGTATCAACTGGCATTGTTATTTCAAGCTAGCCACAGCCCTTCAGGAATAGCTCTCATGCAAGTATTCTGGAATTAAAGCGATTTTAACACGGAATAAGAATAACACTTGAATAGCTAAATCTAATCAGTATAGTTAACTGCATGATGGTTAGTTCCCCTTCTTCTGACAAGATCCCAAAGGGTAGGTAGCTAATTTCTGCAAAAACTCAGGTTCCCAGGTGGCTTTCAAGGTTAACCACAGATACAAACAATAGCAATACTTTAACCTAAAAGGAATACAAAAATGAAAGAGTCTGCAACTAACAAGAAAGATTAAATCTCTTGGTCTACCAGAGACTAAGAAAAAGGCATATTTGGCTTCTGATAAACATTTGCAGTTTGAGAAGAATGATTTGTCAACCTTGCAAGAACCAGAAGATAGTATGTTGAATAGTTAGTTTATGCCAACAGCACAAGGTAACAAGAGAGGTCCAGGATAGTAAAGAGGAGATAAGGAATATTTAGACAAGTTACTTAACAAGACACAATAGTTGATTTATGGCCTGAATGAAAGCCTACTGAAAGTATTCCACTTGATTTCAGCAGGCTTTAAATCAAGTCGAGCCTTAGGGGAAAAAAATGCAGAGATAAAATTTTTATTAACTGTTCCAGCTTTACTACAAAAAGTCAGCTAAAAGAAAATTTTAAGTTTACCTCTGGCAAATGATCCTCAACAAGAAGTATGTGCTGTCACTGCAATTGCTAACACACTGAATATTGCCACCATAACTGCCATCCAGAGCCGTTAAAGGAACAAGGAGCAAATGCACTCTTCAAAATTATGAACCAAAGAAAACCAAAAAAGTTAAACCAAAGAAAACATGGACTATTGGGTGGATGGAGTTCAGTTCAAATGAAAAAAATATTGCAAGAAACAGTAAGAGTAGAGTGATCTACAAGATATATGCATTTTGTTCAACTTTGTGTGAACTTGTGTTTTAAAATGAATCTTTTACTAGTAATATTACCAAACACAAGCCTAACTAAATCCATTAATAGTAATGTTAAATTCTTAACAATATTTGAGTGATTCGCAAAAAAAAAAAAGTAAATAGATTTCAGTGCTTCACCTGTAGACAAGCTGTAGTTGTTTCTTCTGTAGAGTTTCCAAAGCATTCCAGCCCAATCTTTTGGGAGCACCTTAATACTCAAAATGCCCCATGTTACCAGTTCTAGATCACTTGCTACTAGGTATGAGTCAGTCATGCAAGAAACACCCCTATTGGGGGTCTTTAGAATCAAAATGACTGAGCTGATAGTTAAAATTATAATCTCATTTTTACAAAAACCTTCCAACAAACAGTTTTATTCAGATGAGCAAGAAATTACCAAGAATTTTCTGATATCCTTGTTTGTACCACATTATTCTATCAGTAGTCAACTTTAGCAACTGCATTTTTATAAAATATCTTTTATTAGCTAACTATAAATATCAATGTTTATAGTCCTACTGTAAACAATCAGTGGACTATAACAATAGATTCCAAAATATGAGGATAGAAAATTAGGATACAGAAAACCAGCAGATAGTATCCATGTTAAATCTGACTATGAAGAGTAGAAGACAAGAGGAAAACAAGGAAGGGCAGTTCTTCAGAGCTTCAAGTCTGGAAGAGGCCAAAACACTTGTATTTCTTTCACAGAACAGTGCAGAAAAGATACAATTTGTTATTATGAAATTTGTTATATTGTCATGGTGTCATAAAACAACATAAAAGCAACAGCAGGTTAATTAAGAACCAGAAATATCAGTTCAGAAATCCTATGGCAAAAATAAGACTAAAAAAACCACCCATAATGCTAATTATATCATTGAAAGTTCATATTGACTACAACAATTTCCCTCTCAGTCCAAGTTCTTTATACATTACAAATAACCGCTGAGGATGGACAAATCAAAGCTAACAAGCTAGCCTGAAGTTCATGGTTGAGAACCTGATGGCACTCTAATTATGGTGGCACAAAACCTAACACAGGTGGACACTAGGTTCTGCAGCCACTGCTGCTGTCTGGACTGCCTCAGTAACGCCACTTACAGTACATGAATCAGACATGTATTTTAAAGCTAGTTTGGGTATAGCTACCTTTGCACCCTTTACTGCAAACCCAAAGAATAGGAAAAACATTAGAAATAATGAATGAAGGGCGGGCAGAGGGGAAAAAAGCCTTTGAAAACTTTCCTTTTATGCTCTGTTTTCTCATGTCTACCCTAAAACGAACTTTCATATTTGGTGTACCAATCTGAAGGTTTAGGAACCAAAGCTGTGCTGTAGGCCCATCAAAAGGACAAATATTTTCAAAGTATGACTTCCTGTTCTAAGTTTAAAGTTATCGTGATGTGATAAAGAAGTAGGACACAACAAAAGCCTGTAAGTATGAGCTGAAGGAGAACACACTTGAAGGTTCTAATCATTGTGCCCTAAAAATATAAACGCGGCTCTGAGGTCTATTGTTAACTACTGGAGTTCTCAAGAGTACAAAACTCCCCCTTTAACTGGGACCTTTACATATCTGCCAGTAAGCATTTGCAAACTCCCATTTCTGAGGAACAATGCCACAAGCAGTACCCAAGATTTTCATAATTGCTTTAGTAGTCTGTATCATCCGTTCAGAGAGTGAACTGCAAGCTTGTCAGGGTAAGAATGCTGGTAATTCTTTACCATATTACTATGAGACAATAAGTAAAAATTTCAGAACTGTGAAACTCCCAATGCTGTGGAATTTCATTTAAAATATTACAATTTTATTACAAAATGATAAGATGAAATATTTGATCATTTCCCTTTGGGAGTGTGTGCAAGGGAAATACCTCCAAAATGCCTTCTGGCCTTTCTTTCACTTTAAATATATTGACTGTTTCTAAACTATTAAGGAATTTAAAACTTGCTTCCGAAGAATACTATGAAAGATGATTTAAATTAAGTATTACAGTATATATGTTACATCTGATAAAAGAAAGACAAATCTTATTTGTATTTTAAACTTCTTTGGAATGAAATTACCTAATACACATAGACAAGAATAACATCAGACTAGATAATATGCTCTGACCTTTCTGTTTTTGATTCGCTGTCAGCTCGATAGTGTTCAAGGTCTTGGTAAAGAGTCTGCAATTCTGCTTGAAGTCCTTTTTCCCGTTCTATACTTCCTTCATAAAATTTAATCTCCTTTTCCATTGCTTTTACTTTTTCTTCCATCAACTTAAATTCATGAAGTATCAAATAGCTGACTCCACAGTATTTACACACTGTCTCATCCCGGGACATCTAGAAAAAGATAAAATTGTAAGATTGTTTGTAAGAAACAAGTTGAACAAAAAAAACCCTGAATGACTCTGAGTAATAATAATAAATCTGAATAGTTTAAACCGTTTACTGCTCTGGAGCATTTATGATCAGATGATGTTACTGCTTTAACAAATAATAAAGACAAAATTCTACATTAGCAAAATGAAATCAAGCTATAGCAGTACTTTCACTTACTGGAAACTTCACAAGATATATCAACTATGCAATTTACTATGTGGGAACTCCCACTGGAATTCTAAACTGAAGTACCTCTGAATTATGTTTGATGTATTAATTTAAAATAAAATGCTGTGGTTTACAAAGTTATCAAAGTTACAAAGAAAGACGTTATTTACTGTGGTTTTTTGACAACTCATAGCCAATTGAAGTAGGCAAGATGAGAAGTGGAAAGTGAACAGAATGATGTAATCCAGCAATCTTTACAAAAATAATTCAAATGAGTAAGGGACTAATTATTATGATGTAGTGTCCATGGCACTTGAGTGTTGTGGAAAATGTAACCCATTTACTAGGTATGAAGTATTCATCACTGATTAAAAAAAATACAGAGTACGTAATACGCATCTAATTGAAAGACCATTTCTTAAATTGAGAAACATACTTTTGTAAGTGATCAAATTACTAAACTTCGCAGTAAGCAAGGCTTCATAAATATGAACAAATAGACGTGCTCTAACTTTGATATGTACTTATTACTCAGTGTATCAGTTATTCCTGTGTATTTTAATCATTTTCACTGCCAGAAAAAAACGCTCAGTTTACAAGTGATGCAGAACTGAAGCCGCACAAGAAATGGATCTCGAGTAAATGAATCAGCCAGACCAACCCAAGAGGGTCTGATACTTCAGAAGGGGACATGTAAGCATCTGCTTACCAGCACAGATCACAGGTCCCTGAACATGACAGGTTTTACCCTGTTCTTGGGTCACAGCATAAATGCATTTGAGAGGAGATGGTTAGAATTAAGACTAGATCAGAGGACACCCATAATACAGCTAAAGAGACAACCTCAATGCAACAAACATAGAAAGGTATTGGTAAGCTTGGAGACATGAAAGATGGAAAATAGGTGGCAGCTGGAAAAGCAGTTGTGTGTTTGTGTACTGAGAGCTTAAAATACACTTTAATCTTTCTTGCAATTATCAACTGTTACAAGGATTTTCACACAACAACTTATGAAAATCAGAAAGCTGGAAAACTGCAAACAGTTTAAGTCAAAAAATGTAAGAATCCCTTGTGTTACAGAAGAAGAAAAAAAAAGTCATTTTGAGACATTGGGATAAATTCAAAGAAATCATACTTAGAAGAAAGAAAACAGCTTTCAAAAATCATAAATTAAAGACTCATTATCCCATGATTCAATAATCGTTAGCACTTTAAATATATCTTGATAAAAATGATCTTTCTGGATGCTCTAGAAGTACCAGGCCAAGCTTTATTTTCCAATTTCTTAGTTTTGCCCCAGTTTAAAATACCCCTAGTTACAGTTGCTTTGAATGAGCTGAAAATGCAAGTTTATTTTTCCTGGCAGCTGCAAACTGTGCTTGGAAATATGAAACTGTTATTCAGAATAACTACCATAAAGTTCCAAAGCACTAAAATTACTATATCGAAAAAGGACAAAATGAGCTGTTATATGGAGCACAGGAGGGGGGCTCTTATCCCAAAAAGAACATTGTGCTCTCGTGCAGCACCACCACTGCTGTCTTTCAAATAAACAGTTATAGAAATTTCACTGGGTACTAGGATTAAAAACAAAACAATTGGGGTCCTGAACTTAAAATGTTTTATGCAAGTACTAAAACTTTTTAGTTTTCAAATTCAATTTTGTTACTGAACTTAAAAATAAATGAAGTCATAGGACAATAAATATTACCTATCTGGACGTAGCGGGAAATAGGTCCCATTCTTCTTCACGTCCATTCCTCAGGTGAAGTAAAAACTTGAAAGGACTTCTGATCAAGTTGGATTTTTAAAGTATTTGCTACATAGTCAAAAAATCACAGGAAAACCCGAGGGCTTTATATTACTGCAGTAAGGAAAGAAAGTTCTGTCTTTTAATCAGAACCTTGCTTCTCTACATGCAGAATTATCCTGCAACCACTGCAATATTCTGTATATAGATTGAACTAGTTTTAAAATATCTACCTGTAGTGTAAGTGGTTCCTAGTACCAGTAATGAATTTGGCATGGGTTGGGTGATGCTCAACAGGCAAGCTATCCCAAACTAAATTCCATGCTGCAGTAGATTAACACCAATAAGCAAGCTAACTAATTTAAATCCAGCACACGTATGCCCAATATGCCTAGAAAATTAACAGGACCCAGTTGAAAGTGAATAGCTCCAAAGAGCAAGGCCTGAACTGGTTAGAGCAAGGGCCGTACTAATCTGAATTCTCATCCTAAATCCAAGATTCCTCTCTCATGCCCATAGTGGTCAAATGACAAGCAGGTCTTTCTCTTTTTTTCTTTTTCTTTTTTTCTTCCCCCCTTTCCCTTGCATTGTCAACATCACAACCCGAGTTCTCCTCATTGATACTCAAAATATCTCCTGAAATTCCCAAGCTGGTTGGACATTTTTCAGAAGTTACTGAAGCTTCACACAGACTGGTACAGAGAAATGCTGTCAAGCTGTAGATGCTGATTTCATTCAGCCAAAATAATGACAAAGCTATCTTAGGGCTACACCAATTTAAAGGTCAGAGCCAGAAAGCATTTTATAGCTTTGAAGACTACTTACAAATTAAATGTTTTTGGGTTTTGCACAGTTTCCAAGAGAAATACATTACTTCATCTATGTGTGTATTTCTCTATTGTCACCCTTCCATAGTTTGTGAACCAGAATGTTTGGTCATTTATAACCAATTCTGACACTGAGGGCAGAAATATTTAAGTGTCTAAAAGTTTTAGACAACCAGGTAAGCAATAAAGACTTCGTAAGTTCCCTGCTGAAAAAAACTCTGGAGTGTAAGCGCAGTCCTTATCAGATAATCCATATAGGAGAGTGCCTTATGAATGGTCTGTCCAGGAGAAAAGATTCCATTAGACCTTGTATCTTAGACACCAAAGTTGATCAACCATTACACAAAAGTCTGTAGAAATCAAATTTTCATTAGTTCTTATGCTTACAAAGCTACCTTTTCTGGAATAATATTATCACTGAGTAACCGCTAAGAATGTGTATTACATACACAATGACTTATGTTTTCAGATTCCATATTTCACTATTTACATTTGATCAAAAGACTGTCGTCATCTTCTCAAATGCAAAGCAGAAAAAAATCAGGGGAAAAGCAGAGTTTGCAAGGAATAGAAAAGGAAACTATCAGCGCTCTAACTAGAAAGGGCACTGTGTATGTCCTTAGCAGTGAGAATAAGCAGTGAATACAAAAAAATCAATTAGGAATAAAAAAAACCAAACACAAGGTAATTTTAGTATTGTGGTTTTGGTCAGCCTGGACAGGGAAACTCAGGGCAAACAGGACTTTAAAAGGCAACAGAGGGATACTAGAAAAACCCTGCTATTTGCGTTAGCACAACAGTACTGCATGCATGATAACAACATAAAAAGAAAAACAAACTTACTGAGGACAAAGTGCTTGAACTAGGAAGATATTTGATCCATAAGATTTTGAGCTACAGTTCTGATACACATTATGCCAGATGCTATAAAGAAAGGACAAGAACTATGTCCCGAACAAACCATATTGCAAGGTAGCATTTCTAGCTGTGATATTCCAGCAGCTGTTCCACTACAGCATCTGTGGGAGTAGTTTCAACTCAGAGCTGCATTTGGTTTTGGAAGAACTAATATTACTCCATGGTTACATTTCTTTAGCTACCAAGAGCAAGTGGAGAACTGGGCCAAGATGGATACTCACTCAAATTACATCTGTCTGACTCAGTACCGTAAGCATCTGTAGAGCACAAGTTATATGGGCAAAAAAGAAAAAAATCACTTTGGTGGTCTGGACCATTTTTAGCCTTTTGAATGACAAGACAGGAATTTATATAATTTCAACTTGACCAAATAACTACAGGAGCGTCAGCTTGTGCACTACTATTCTTCTCCTCTGATATTTCAGATTCCACCTGCAAAAATTACCATGATGAAGAGCTAAATTCTTGTTAAAAGAAAAATAATCTACTTTCTCACTTAGCAGTGTTTTGGTATTACAACATCCAGCATATGGATCACTTATGCTAGAAATAGTCTGTTACAAGCAGCTAATAAATAGCAATGACTCTTAAAAGCCAGAACATAAGCCTCCAATTAATGAGATTCTTTTAAAAAGCTTTGAATATGTTTCTGTGCATTGCTGAAATAAAAACACAGAGCCATGAGCACAGACGTACTCCTTGTACATTAATTTTACAGTGCAGGGGAGGGAGAGCCTAAGGGAACTGCAGCACTCACCATCCTCTTTGCTCCTCAAGGAGCACGCAGTGCTCCTCAAGCACATAACGCAGTAATAACAGCTCTTGCTCCCTCCCCAGTTGATCTGTCAGGACTGAGACTGCTTTAGCAAGGACTGGACAAATAACAAAAACCCCTGTATTTGTCCAAACTACACTTGTAGCAAAACAATACATAAAACTCAAGAAAAAGAAATAAATCCTTACGCTGCAGCTGGGTGCTCTTAAATATTTCTGTATATTGATTGGTTTATTCTACCTCTACTTGATTCTACCTTATTATCTGAATCTAATTTCTTTTTATTTTACTCCTCCTCTCTCATACTATTTTCATTTCTCTCACGCTGTTTGTCCCTCTCCTGATGAACTAGCCCTATTACACAAAAACAAGTCATTACTCAAACCACACAACTGATATTCTAGGCAGAAAATAGAGTCTTCTGCTGTATATGCAAAACTGAAGATTTATTTGATTGAAATTGATCTTTTTTATTATTCAAAGAACGATTTTTAAGAGTCTCAGTAGAAACTTCACTTCTTCA